CAATTTTCAACGTCTGCCACGATGACATGCTCGTAATCTCTCGTTAACGGGAGGAGGAATCGAAATTAATTCGGACTTAAATCGATCTCGAGAATTCCGGAAATTCGTATCGCTTAAACCAGACTTCGACTAATTTAACGTTGATATAACAAAGTGACGGGCCAACCTTCCTTTTTTTCCCTTCCAAAGGTCGAAAAAACCGATGGTAACTTTTTGGCCGTTCCCTCGATCGAGTCGGTTATGGGGGAAAATTGAATAAAACTCTTTTATGTCTGGCCGACGAAACGGCGGGGCAGGTTTCTTTCATGGTTGAAAGTGCGTTAAACGAATAATCCGCGCTCCACCAGCCCCGTGACACTCTAATGGAAAATTTTGCGTGTATGAAACCTGTTACGTATTTGCGAAATGTTAAAATTGCGCGTGGTGGAATAAAAAAAAAAAAAAAAAAAGGAAAAAAGAAGATAAAAGGACGGAATATCCGTGAAAGTTATATGGAAATAGTGGAAGTAAAAACGGTGTAAGTGAATCATCTATGAAACTGGATTGGAAAAGTTATCCGATACGAAACTTTTAACATTGGACGTGGAATTTTACACAAAATTCTATTCCAAAATGTTAATCTTGCTTTTACGCATCTAACCGCCAGAGATTTATTTCTTCGTCGTTGGATTGTCTCTTATTTTCAAGAGAATGCATTCGATAAATTATTTGCGCACGTTTGGTCTCTGGACAAGGATTGTGAAAAAGAAAGAAATAAATAAAAAAAAAAAAAAAAAAAAGAAAAAAAAAACGATTCGATCGAGTTTTTCCCATAAAAAGCAAACTCGAATGGAAAAAGGCCGGAATAATGCACACGCATTCCGCCGTTAAAAGCCATTCCGAATAATCGGCGCAATTAAAAATGCATTGGCCGCGTAATCCCCTTTCAAACGGGCGGAGAAAGATATAACCACTTGTAAAATCGATCCTGCATCGGCGGCTCGCGCGCGAGGAATCTCTCTCGAATCGATCCTCTCGTCCTTCCTTCCACGCGACGCCGTGTTTCTCCGACAAACTTTTAATTGCGTTCCACGGAATGGAAGGATCAAGAGAGTCGAGACGAAGAAATGGAGTAGTCGTGGGAATGGAAATCGAGTGACCAGGGAAACGGGAAACGTTATTTTCGTCAAATAATTTCAAAGTCTTTGACGAGTGCGAAGGATCCAATATCGAAGAGGCATAAGTAAAAACAAGAAAAAGCTTCTAACGAATATCTATCTCCTATCTTCCTCTACACAATTTAAACTGGAGAACGTGCTATTCGTTGGTGGAGAGAAGAGAGAAACGCCTATTTTCGCGCACATTTTTATTTTTAACGTGGTTTTACTTTAGTGTCACATACACTAATCCGATTGTACGCAGAGAGAGAGGCAATAAAACGACGATCTGTATCTAAACCTCGATGCATTAGAATTCAAAATATTCTAACGGAATATCGATATAAAAGTTTTTTTTTATTCTCATTAATAATAATATTAATAAACTAGACATAGATATATCATGGATGTATCAATATCGTATCGAAATAATTAATAGTTTCTTCGTGAAAATGAAAATAATTCTACCGTGTAGCGTGTGGTGTCAGGACAGTCAACAAAGCGTCCGAAGTGGGGATAGAAGGTCCTAGCGAAGGACACTTTTTGCTTCCCGCGAGACTTTTTTTAGCAGCGAACAGCAGGAACGGTAAGTAGATAAATAAAAAGAGAAAAAGCGAGCGCGGTAAATAAGACTATAAACGGAAAAGATATGGGAGACGGCAAGCGAATGAGTTCGTAATCATCGATGAAAATGTTAATTTGTCGTTAGTCCCGCTCCATGGAGCGTGTAAATCGTTCGAGTTGTAAAATTCCCCGTGCGACCTCGATGACGCTGTTTTATCGGTCGTGCCTTCGGAATAAATCAGACTCGCGCGTCACCGACGTTATTCCTTATACAACCCGGTGTTCCGCTTTCGTCGCCATTCTTCGCCAAGTCCGAGACGACAGATCACGAATTTTCCGATATTCAATTTTTATTTAAGAAACGTGAGAATATATATATATAAGGTTTCGAAATGCCAAGCGTCACGTATACATTACAGGCCAAGGAAAATTCACTCGTAATGATGGAAGAGGCAGTTAACCCACTAGAAATATCGCTGTGTTCCACGAAGGAATTGCGATTATTGTTATTATTATTATTCTTCGAATCGACTGGCACGGGTATTTTATTTATTTAACAATGTCAAACGATCTGTTGTCTCAATAACCTGTTTTCGAACAAAGAGTTTTTTTGCTTTTATCGCCGACGTGAAAAATATATCGCTTCACTCGGACCACGCGTTATAATCCATATTTTAACGCTCGAGAGAAATTCATTGGAAAATCGAACTCGACCACGCTGCTCTCGACTCCGCGATTTATCTGTCGCGAATTTTCTCCGAGTTAACAATAACTCGGAGATTGGAGAAGAACATCTGGCGCGGGAGAAATAAAACTATCGTATCGAAGATTGGACACGAGGCTTATTAATATACGTATTAGATTATTTATTTCAAGCCGTTATTTCTCGAAACCGTTCCTTCGCTCGCTCGATACGAGCCGTTCAAAGTGCATCATCGTCGCAACGACGCCCTTGGCGAGGCAATACGCCGCTACGAAATTTATAGCGTCTACTCGACCACGCGCTCCCTGATTTTTTTCCCATCGGATCGGATAGCATGCATTTTCCATCTCGTAGCCAACGTGTCGATCATCCGGCAGAGAGAGTGGTCGACGATTGATCGAACGCCTATCCAACCACCCGATATCTCGCCAGCCAAAGAACCGGAGGAGATACAAGTCTTTTTTTTTTTTTTTTTTGGAATACAATCTTTTTACTTCGAAATTAATATTAATAATCGAAATGAAATATGGATCGATCGGAGCTTCGTTGAATTATTTTTTCCAAATGTAATCGCTCGTTTCTTTCGTTCCCCGCAAATTAGAAGCGATTTAGAGCGTCAACTGTGGCGTTGTATAAGAGGACGTGATAAAGGATGTGAAAGGAAGTAACGACGCGAGAAATAAGCGGGAAGTATTGTACGTGTCGTGCGTTTCACACGCGCGTATACGACGCGTATAAACGTAAGTACATTCCATTCGTTGAAACGTAGCTACACCGGCAAAGAATTTCAGAAATGTTATATACGCGTTCAACGTGCCTCGCGGCCTATCTTTTCTTCACTCTGCCGAGCGCGACAAACGAGTGAGTGAGTTGTCTACCGTTTTTCGTTCCAACAAAGAAATCGCGATTCAATTGCTTGTCCCCTTCTTCTTACGAGTCGAATATAGAAAGAAAAAAAACGAAACTGCAAATGAATATTATTCGATTCTCGTCGCAATCAAATTTTTAATTAATTATGCATTTTAAACTCGAACTAGTTCGTCAAATTTATCGAAAGAAAAAAAATTGCAAAGAATGTTGTCGAGTTGTCTGATACAAATTTATCTTAGAAAAAAAAAAATTTTTTTATCGATGTCTCTTCCTTCTTACGAGTCGAATATAAAAAAAAACGAAACTGTAAATAAATATTATTCGATTTTCGTTTTTTTTTTTGCATTTTAAACTCGAACTAGTTCGTCAAATTTATCGAAAGAAAAAAAATTGCAAAGAATGTTGTCGAGTTGTCTATACAAATTTATCTTGAAAAAAAAAAAATATTTTTATCGATGATCGATTTATGTCCTTGTATACGTAGAATATGGCGTGAAACGGACAATGCTGGCGCGAAAACTCGCGTGAATCGGGAGGGTGAGTAACGTGTTCGAGGTCCTTTCGAAAGTTTTGGTCAAGCGTGCACGCCTACCTCGAGTGGAGGGGAGAGAAGCTTCGCTGCCTAAATTCGAGGTTAAACCGAAGCCAGTTTCCGAGGAAAGTTCTCGCGATTATTTATACGAGGCACGCTCTAATCCGCGGGGCGAATTTTATATATATATCGTGGTCACAAATTGCTCCTGTCCGTTTGCTTTTGGTAAATAGAAAAGAAAAAAAAAAAAATCACAAATTTATGGAAATACGCGTATAATACGGTCCTTCCTTCGCCGCCTAATATCAATAACAACGGAAACAAAAATATACACCGCGAGAGATACGATCGATGCGGATCGAGGTGGACCGAGGGGAAAAGAAATCGAAAGAATCCGGCGCCGTCTATTTCACTCCCACTCTCGCTGCAATCCTTGCCTCCGTTTATTCCACTCTTCTCCAACCTTCGAACATTTTGGGTAAACCGGCCACCTCTTCGATCGAGGAATTTTTTTTTTAAGAAGAAAAAAAATATTCGTTCTATTCCTCCGTGAGTGAAAACAATTCGCGAAAGGTGAACGTTCTATCGATCGACGTGATTGTTGCTAAAGTTATCAGCTGTGCTGTTCACTGCTGGAAAGAAATCTCGCGAAAAGAATGCGGGTATTTGTCACATATATATATATATATATATACTAATCCAAAACGATGATCTAGCTTAGACAGAATATTCTAACGTATCGATATAATATAAAAATTAGTGAATAAGTTTAATTTATAAATATAATTTTGTATTCGAGTATAAATGAAAATAATTTTTACGATTTTAGAATAGCTCCTCTACGACTATGTGGTGGCGTGTGGTGGTCAGAATTGTCAATAAAGCGTCTGAAGTAGAGATAGGCGGTCCTAGCGAAGGACCCCTCTTGCCCCTGTCCCGCGAGACTTCTTTTCACCAGTAGTGAACAGTAGTACGTGGATCGCACACGGAACGCTCTCGTTCGTAACTGTACGGTATCGAGAAGCAAAGAACGATTCGACAAAAGTTGTTTTTTTCAACGATTCATTCGTTGTTTATTTTATCGATTCGCGTTCGTTATATATCCAATTGTGATCATGGTGCACGGATAGCGAATGATGGAGAAGATGGAAGAAATAGAGATAAGAAAGATTAAGCGTCAGTTTAAGATACTCACCTTTTCCTCGAGCGCCGGTCCGTCCGTCATCGCGTGCATAATGGCGTCCGAAATGCGGGTGTCCAATTGTCTGACAGCCCTCTCGGCATTCAGGCCCAACGGATCGTTACGACCGTCGACCGCCACCACGAGCCTCTCCACCGTTTCCACGTACCCGGACCAAGCCAGGTCCAGCTCGGATGCTGGCTGCGTCAGGCAACCTCTGCACGCATCAATCCACGATCAACCGATACGTTTTCAAGTTTGCGATTCTTAATTTTTAAAAATACGAACATTTTACGGATATTTTTTTTTTTTTTATGTCGTTTCTCATTTTTCTCGCGATTCTCAAAACATTAAGGGAGGAAACAAACGAATACAAACGTAAAAAAAGAAAAAAAGTGGGGAAAATTGGAAAAGTTAAAATTAACCTTGAAGTTAAATCGACCAGACAGCTCGAGACATTTGTGCGAATAGCGGGCCATACGCGCACGAGGGAACGCCTCGTCAAAGGCCATAAAAGAAAGTGAAAGTAACCGAACTCGACGTAGAATATAAAGCGGCTCGTTAAGATTAAAAGAAACGTAGAGGAAAAGAAAGAAAGTGCGCCTACTATATTTTTCATTCGCGAATTTGACGAAATTTATAAATAATAACGAAGGATTAAAAAATTCGTTTCGAAACATTTAAAAAAGAAAAAAAAAAAAAAAGAAACAAAATTTCAGAAAACTCGGAACGATGTATAAACTCTTTTACGCGATAAATTAAACGCGCAATTATCTTATGCAAGGAATTAAGCGTGCGTGACATTTTATTTTACGCTCGAGCGAATTCGAAATTAATCTACGCCACGTTCGCGAGTGTGGAATTCATTTTCGACTTTAGATGGTTTTCAACGCGATACCACGAAATTCTAGTAATTACTACTAGTCGAACGTAGAGCATTTCAACCGACAAATGAATTTACACACCCACATTTACGCGAAATAGCTACACACGTATCCTAGCTATATAATAATTCGACCGAAATTTAAACTTAACGATTGAAAGAAAAGAAGAAGGAAAAGAAAAAGAAAAAGAAGAATCGACGCGTGTAATTGGCAGCACCGTGCTGCGTTTTTAAAATCGCGCGTGAAAGGTGAAACGATTCCCACAGGTTTCGGAACTAACGACTAATGCGATTGAAAATTAAAAGAAAGGGCCATGAATAGAGTGGCGCGAGCCGTGGATAATTAGCGGAGTGGGATACGAGGGTGGTGGTCACCTCATGACATTGGTGCAGAATCCACTGCAGGGCCTGACGGAGGGACCGATGCCCTTGCACCTCGGACAATAGGTCATCCTGAGCAGTGCGGCGTAGCAGGCCTCCTGCTGGGGGCTGGTGCCGGAAAATAGCACGCTATCCGTCCTGTCCAGCACCGTTTTGCCGAGAGTCAACGCCTGGACCAGGACCCGGGTCGCCTCCAGGCTTTTGCTCACCGATTTCGAGACCTGGATCGGTATGTCACCGAACGGTTGGATCTGTTCCATCGTTTCGTACAGGCACGTCTTGAATTTTTCCGTGAAATCTTGCTCGTACTGGCGGGGATTCACAGCTCCGTGATACGCGATCGGGAACAATTTGGCGAAGAACTCGATGAACTTCTCTTGAAGCATGTCCCTTGTCAGGGGTTGCTGCAAACTGTCCGGCGTGTTGCTCGGCGACACGTAATCGACCATCGCCTGATACAGGGCTTTTATCGAGGGCCTGCTCGACACCGCCATCGTCCGATACACTTGATCGAACAGGGTTAAGGTTTTGTTCTCCGACTGTCTCGCGAGCATCGTCACCGTTTCTGTAAAAACGGAAAAAAAAAAAAAAAAAAACGTACCAATTAATTACATAAACTTTCGAAAAACTGAAAAAGATGGTAAAAAGATATAGACAATCGTTTTCGAAATTAAATTTCGACGAATTTTATTCGTCTCTCGAACGTGACGTGCACGACGAACACGTTATATTCTCTCGGCAGAAGGAAAGAAATATCGAGAGCTATTAGAGAGAGAGGGCGTCGAAGAATAATGGACTCCTGCGCGATGCAAAGCGAGGAGGAACCAGGCTTCGGACGATGACTAACGTAAGAACAAATTGCCCACGCACTCGGACCTACTAACATTCCTTTCGTCTTCCTTCTCCTTCTCCTCCTCGATCAGACCGCGATCCGGCTCTCGAAATACCTCTTCGCGAAGGAGGAAATGGCCGGTAAAATAACGGCCATTGGAAGAGGACGGAGAAACGAAGGAAGGATAGAAGGAAGAGGAACACGCGTGGAAAGGAAAAAAGGAAGAGATATCTACTGCACCTTCTTCTTATCGTCTTCCTCTTTCACTCTTTCTTTTCAAAGCTTTCTCTCTCTATCTTTATCTATCTCTCTCTCTCTCTCTCCTTATGGAACGGTCGGTCGCCACGGATCGTCTCGTCCTAAGGCACTTGAGGCCATTCCGCGGCACATAGTAGAGAGAGAGAGAGAGAGAGAGAGAGAGAGAGAGAGCTTCGACACTTCCACTCGCCGGTCT